AAAACATATCATGTTCAAGGCTAAGATAACAGTGTGGAGGAACATAGCAGGCCAGGCAGCAGAGGAGCAGTATGTTTCGGGTCAGGACACTTCTTCAGAAATGCGGAGGGGTAGGAAGCTCAGAAATAGTGAGACAGGAGAGGTGGGACTGGGGAAGGCAGGTGCAATGGTGATAGGGGAGTGCACGTATGCAGTGGTGGGGATTGGTCAGTGAGGTGGGAGGGGCGGATAGATGGGAGAGAAGATGGACAGATTGTGTCAGGTCAAGGAGGGGGGAATGAGAGGGAGGGCTGAACATGGGATGAGGCCAGGGGTGGGGGATTTTAAAACTGGTGAAACCTATGTTTAGGCCATTGGGCTGTAGGTTCCTGAGGTGGAAGAGGAGGTGCTGCTCCTCCAGTTTGTGGGTGGCGTCAGTGGGACAGAATAAATCCCTCTTAAAGGCACATCACATCACACCACCGGTCACTGCCTGCCACCTGGAAAAAGATACATTTATTCCCATCTTTGTCTCCAGTATCTCAACCAATTCACAACCCACGTGAGTAGATTACTCCCAGTCATATATGTTTTAACTTTGTCCACTAGTCTCTTAAGTAGAATTTATCAAAAGGCTTCTTTTTTAAAATCCAAATACACTTCAGTCACTAAGTTTCCTTTATCTATTCAAGATTTTCAGTCTTTTCAATCTGTGCTGTCTAAAATCAAACTGGACATCATCTATGATGTTGAGGATTTCATTAGAAGGTTAAGATGCATCACAGGACAGAGGATTCCCTCACGGCAAAGAGGAGTATTTTCATCTAAAAGATCACTCCTGCAAACCTAACCAAAAATAGACTGCATCAGGTAAATCAAGAAGGACAAACGCAGAGATAACCTAGTGTGGAGCTGGAGGAACACAGCAGGCCAGACAGCATTAGAGGAGCAGGAAAGCTGATGTTTCAGGTTGGGACCCTTCTTCAGAAAAGGCAAGTAGCTCTTCTCATGCTGGTTTTCTCAGCACCTAACAGGAGTCCAGTCTGGCAATTACATCCTTCAGAAACTGGTCAGTTTAGTCAGTTGCAACAATACTGAGCCATTCTGAGTTTGACAAGGTAGCCTTCCACCAAGAGTACGTTCCTTAACTTTGCTAGTTCCAAACAGTCTAATACAAGGAATACTGATTCAGCCAGCCAAAGGAGGAAAAACCAAAACAAACAAAATGCCAGAGAAACTCAGACCCGCACCCCCAACCCTATCCCTGTAACCCTGCATTTCCCATGGATAGTCTACCTATTCTGCACATCTCTGGACACTATGGGCAACTTAGCACGACCAAACCATCTAACCTACAAATGTTTGGATTGTAGGAAAAAACCTGAGCACCTGAAGGAAGCTCACACAGACACGGGGAGAACGTCTGTATGAAGTTTGCACAGGTGCCCGAGGGTAGAATCGAATCCAGGTCCCTGGCACTGTCAGGCAGCAGTGCTAAACAGTGAGCCAATGTGTTGCCCTTTAAGAAGCTGTTCTCAAATCTGCTGGTACATCTTTTCACATTTTTCTGCTCAATGAGAGAGGGTGGAAGAGAGTATAACCAGAGTGGGAGGGTCTTTTAGTAGCTGCTTTTCCCGAGGCAGCCGGAAGTGTAGATGGTGACAATGGAAGGAAGGCTGGTTTTCTTGATGGATTGGCTGCATTCAAAACTCTAATTTCTTGTGGTCTTGGGCACAGCAGTTGCCATACCAACCTGTGATACATTTGGATAGGATAACAGTATACTATTCAAACACAAACTCTGCTGGTGGGCCAGGACATACCCAGGGATGGTAATGAAAGTGTCTTGTGGATGGACTTAATTATGTAATGACAATGACAGATTATATCTGTGGGATAGCATTTCCAAGTCATCATTAAGGTTCTCAGATGTCAGTCAGGACAGTGTTCCATGGTCAACTAGCCTGCCTGTCCTTGATGTGTCCAAGTCAGATGTCTACGTGGGTACTCAGTGTTCTGTCAGTTTTCATTATTCAGGTAATTTTTTGTGGCAATTTGAAACAGCCAAATGGCTTCCTAGGCCAATTAAAAGTTAACTACATTAAATTTAGAGTCATACATAGGCCTGAATGTAAAGGTCATTAGCAAACCATATATTATTTTAAAGAAGGTAATATGATAATATCAAAAATAGTGGCCATAAAACTGATTTAATTCCATATCCACAATATCACAAGTTTATTTCACATTTAAGAGATAATTAATTTTATTTCAGAATTTTCATAACTTCAAACATTAAGTAACATGAAAATTTTGTTGAAATAAAAGTTACTGTATAAAATATTTTATGCAAATTACAAAATTTCAGCATCTTACCAAGGGTAGAAATCAGGGACATGAACATAAATAAATGTTCAAACCCCCTTCTCTATACTAACAGTAACAGAAATCCATGTCACATTATTGCTAAACACAGAATAAAAAAAATCAATTTTCTCTTACACAATCTTATCTCTGAACTTTAACACAAACATTACCCAAGGACAATACTCCGTTTTAACAAGAAATATTGCCAAAGTCATCCCACTTCAAAGACATGAGTCCAAAATTATTTTATTTTGGAGAGCTCAGATTTAGGGTTAGAGCATTAACATTGTTTGCATAAGAAATATCAAACTAATAGATTTCAAGACTGCAGCTATAGCATGTCAATTACAATGTTGCACTTAAACTGCTGATTTTATATCTTAATTTGTTAACACACTCAAAATGCTGAATTGCTGAATAGCACTTCCATAAAGCCTAAATGATTTGAGATTTTACAAAGTATGCAGTCAGTCATTTAATTGGTGGAATACAACATTTCAGAATTTTCCACTTCCACTGCTAAACCAGACTTGAAGTTGGTCAAGAAATGGCTCCTTAAACACCCTACAGTGACTCGACTAACCTCAAATTCTTCACAAGCTTTGACTCATGTGGTGCATATACATGCAGTACTGCAAAGCAACAATTCTGGGCTTCTCAGTCCTTCCTTGCTCCACTTTGCAAATGGGCTTAGTTTATACAGTCACAATTCTACTGAAAAAAAAAACTTACTATCCAGTTAGAGATAGTAGGAACTGCAGATGCTGGAGAATCCGAGACAACAAGGTGCAGGGCTGGATGAACACAGCAGGCCAAGCAGCATCATAGGAGCAGAGAGGCTGACGTTTCGGGCCTAGACCCTTCATCAGAAAAGGGGG